TATATAAATTATGATGTAGCTACAATTGGTGGTTAGATGCATCATTGTTTTGACACTGAAAATAACAATTGTTTCCTTAAAAAAAAGTTATCATGAGCTCTTGAGATTTACTTTCAAAATTCCTTGTGATGTTCTGCTTCATATCTGATTTGGTTGATGAGTAAAAAGTATGTATTGAGCATTAAACAAATGGCTATGATGGAATAAATGGGGAAAATACTTCTGTAACCATGGCCTGTGAAAAGCAGGCAGTTGCTATTGGTGTCTTATTTTTTTATGCAGTTATTTGAGAGCTAAATTGGAACTATATTGGAAATATTGACTTACTACTTAAATGATTTTGACACCAAATACATAATCAAATCAGACAGTATATATAATACATACATACATGTTTAAATTCTGCAGAAATATGTGTAATGCCACACCAGAAGAGGAAGCCATCGCCTGAATACTGACTGTGTGCTACTCACTCTGCTCCCTCTACAGTCACTTACTGTTTGGGAGCCTTTTTGGATTACCCTATTGACTTGGCTGCCTGTTTGGATTGTTTATTGTGTTTGACCACCTTGCCTGTCCTCACGACTCCTGCCTTTAGGTTATCCCTTTGCCTGCTTGCCATTGGGATTTATTATTGCAGTTTTGACCCTTTGCTTGACTTCATGTTTCTGATTGTTGGACTGTTCTTAGCCACTGATGAATCTAGCAGAAGTTTCCAAGCTTTGTGCTTTTCCGATGAGACTACTCTCTGGGAAAGTGATTGATTGGGCTGCAGTGGGGGAAGCTGATTTTAGAACTTCCTATGACTACTTCATTCAACAGCTACGAGATGCAATGTTTCCCACAGGATTTTGTGAGACTGTGGTGGGTGGTCCTCGATCCCTCCAGGGGGGTCCGGGGCATGCCCCCTCCCCCGTAAGAAAATGTGGTACATTTTAAAGTTAAATTCATAAATCTGGTGCACTTTGACAGTTCAAAATTATGAGCTCCAACACAGGTTCTTTGTGCAAAATAAAATAAAAAAACTGGTGAATGTACTTGTCCTTGAAATTTAAAGGGCACTCAGCCCTCTTTTTAGTTGGAATATAGTGTCTCAGTCTCACTGGTGAATTTGGAAGCCAAACAAATAGAATAAACTAATAATAATAATAATTGTATATGATTATTCCTATCACAGTAATAGCCATATATTGTAAAACAATTGCACTGTGAAATAAATATAAATGATTTTTTTCAGGTATATTAATTTGCCTTACTCTATTGTAGGGAAATTGCAATACTTTTGTCCTAATTCCTACACTTGCAAGCAGGGCCTAAAACTAACTTTCACATCTACCAGTGGCTGGTGACTTGAGAAAATTTACCGGCCATAAATATTTTTCCTTGCCATGAAACAGTTTTTGCCAAAAGCGGCAGTTGCTACTACTACTACAACTAAACATATTCAATAAAAAAGCCATTTGAAATTAGAACCAATCACTGCATTTTAATCACGATACAAACAAAGATACAAAGATAAAACCTGCATGAAACAAAAACAGACGGGTTGAATGAGAACGCAAATTCACTCTGACAGCAGGTGGCGCTTATGGATCAGCAGTGATAATAGGGGAAAAAATGCCATCGAAACGTTTGTGAAGTCAGTTCCCTTCAGAAATACATTCATATAAACCCCCACCCCAATATTTATATTTTTCTTCTGAACAGTGAGCCTGCTGTGCCTGTACAGTATTTTCTCTGTTCCTCTGTGTAATTTTAGGCCATGCTTGCAAGAGATAAACCCTTGAGTTTTTATTTTGGTGGAAACTTCAGTTGAACTTTTATTTTGGCGGAAAACTCCAGCTTCTGTGAAAACAGGTTTACAAACATTACTAATTTAATGAAATACTGTAAACATTTGCCCATTAGAATGTTGAAAATTATGCAAATGTGCAAATTATGCATAACTGGTGGCCGTTGCGTTCCCAAACGCGCTAAACTCACAGCACATTCAATAACGAAGTTCACTGCGGTCACTGTGATCTGAGCAAGTACTGAATGAGATGTGGAAAACACGGATCATGAGCTGATCACGTGCACAATGTACCCTTTTTTCTATTTTTTTTTTTAAATAAATGAATATGTGTATATCTGTGCGCGCGTGTGTGTGTTTCTGTTTGCGCTCAGCTTTCCCTGTCAAACAAATAAAAAAATCAAAATATCAGGTCGGGTCGGGAAATGTTGAGACTGTCGATGCCTTTCTCCCCTCCGCGTCTCCGCAGCACAGCAGTGTAGCACACATTGATCGGCACATCACAGGCAGGCAGAGAGCCGCAGAAGTGAAACCCGCCCTCCCTTTCCAGATGTGTTTGTCTTGGTGTGGAGGTGAGTGGTGATGAACAACAGACTAAGCTACCTGTGCCTCGATACAGCTAATTATCCAAATGACAAAAGGCAATTATAGTTAATTTGTCTTGCTAACATCCATGATTCATGAGAGAGCTACCATGCAAGTTAGCTAAAGTTTAGCTAAGGCAATATGAAGTCTAATAGGTTAGACCAGTCTGCGTTCTTTCACTGCATGATTCAGTTTACTCAAAT